AAAACTAATGTCAATCTAATGGTAAATTTTCCTAATGGTAGTTGCGTTTGAAGAAAAATCTTCTTAGTGGAACATACCATTAGGACAAAAAGATCCCAATAAGCAGTCCCATCAAGATTCATTCCATTGGAACAAAAAGATCTCAATAAGCAGTCCCATCAGAGTTCATTTTCCTGGCAAGAGAATTTTCCATCCCGTCAATAGAAAAAACATTAAGCCATTGAGATATTTCAATTTGTTGAGAGAAGGAAATTTTCTTATTCTAGCATGTTGTTAAAGATTTCATTCCATTGGAGAAGGACTGTTTGACATGGTCAATTTAGCCTACCATATCATGGCCATGTAATTAAAGAAAATCCATCGACAAGAACTCATTGGGAAGTCCTAACAAAAATATAGTGAAACAATTATTGAATGATTGTAAAGGATTGCAAACTCAAACAAGAATGTAATCTAGCACAATCTGGCTATTCCACAATAAGGAATGTTCTCATTGGGAACTCCCATAGTCTAACAAATATCCAATGGTTGGAACTTTATATGTATATTGTGCATATGCCTTTCACATGTGCAAGATGGCTATGCCATAGGTACTTTGTACGGGCTGTACTGGTAGGGGGGATAAACATGGAAGATTCTACTAAATATTTTTCATTCCATATTCATTTTTAGCATTATTGTCATAAATTTAAGAATCAATCTCTCAAAGTTACCTAACCAATGGATATGTATTTGTGAATTTTTTCCATCACACTCTCCATATTTTGCTAAGATGGCTTAATCTTATTAACTCTACCTCTACTTTTAATTTTACTTTCCCCACTAGATATGTTGGAGATCAAATTTATGCCCACTTACTCTTTAATATCCATTTATATATTCTTTTAGGAGTTGGATGATCTATATAAGTAACTTAAATTTGTGAGTAGAAATTTTGGCTATAGTCCCTAGCCATTCTTTTGACCTGCGATTGTTTATAATGCATATTAATTTCTTCAACTTTAAAAACTTTGCATGCTGAATTTTGTGTTTAATTTGTACAATCTCAATTGAGAGCTCTTCCTAATTCTTCTTTGGATGTGCAAATTTATATGTATCTTACTTAACCGTCACTAAAGGCTAGAAACCAAAATAATAAAAAGAGTGTTATAATCTTGGGATTAATATTAATCCACATGGCTTAAAGTATAACTAAGTTAGGTTTAATCAGTAGTTCATGCTAATCAAGGGCTTTTGAGGGACATGGTGGAAGTGGAGCATGCTCACAACTGTGAGCAATGGCATAGAGGGCTTAGGGGTGGATGGACGGCAATTTGCTCTACATCAATGTGGTAATTTTTCATTAGGTTCTAATAATTGGTATTAGAGGAGTAGAGTTCAAGAATCTGCGAGTTTGCTACTATGGATTATATGGAGGAAGCTGCTAATCAATCATTTGTGGAGGCTTAGATGATGGATGAGATGGTGCTATAATTGCAAGCCCTCAATAGCAATATCTAGACCCTTGAAATTAATATGCATGGATCTTTGATAGATATGTGTGAGTGCATAAAGAAGATGGAGAATTCTCAAGGTGGCGGGAGTCATGTCATAGATTGAGCTCAAATTCTTGAGTTTGATGGCACTGATGTCCTTGCAAATGAGGTGCTTAACTGGTTATGCAAGACCTTGAAATTGATTCAGGTTCAAGGATTACCGGATGAGGATGCATTGATCCTCATGGAGGTGGTGCTTAAAGGCTGGCCCACACATTGGTGGACTCACCTTTTGAATCAATGTACCATTGTTGGCTAGGGACCTTTGGCATCATTAACTGAATTTGAGGAAGCTTTTAAGTAGGAATTTGCTCCTCGCTATGATGCTTCTCATGCATGACGTAAGTTTCAATACCTGAAGCAAGACAATTTGAGCCTGAAATCGTATTGTTCAGGATTGAGAAGTGGAATATTACTGAGTCATGTGCCCAATGACTACACTGAAGAGGTTCAGAAAGATTACTTTGTGCACCACTTACGCAACAAGGGGATGTGAGATCACTTGAAAACTTCCAAGGCAATGAAATCTTTGGAGGAGCTTTTTGAACAAGCTCAGAACTTGGTGGATGAGGGTGAGCCATGTCCTCATGACAAGGGTGTCAAACATGGGAGGAGCCCCTCTTGAGACGAGACTAGTGGCAGTAGCGGGTGTTTGAAGTCTTGTGTGGAAGGTGGCTGCGGCAAAGGTGGTCGAGGCAATGGCAAAAAACCTCGGATTACCCTGAAAATGACAACCATTGCCACAAGTATGGTGACGAGGGCCATTGGAAGGTCGATTGTCCTTTGTTGAAAAACAAGAACAAACATTTGAACACGAGTGCTAGAGCTTCAAATGGGAAGAAGGTCTAGGAAATGCAATATGAGGAGAATCTAGGCAAGAAGTATATCTCCATGATTTCCCATACACTCAATGGGATTTGGAATGATGATCCCATGGACTTGGCTTTGGAGTCTTGTGTGATTCGATTCAAGGGATTGCTGGGAGATTATTCAGTATGTATTCTACTGGACAGTGGCAATTCCAACAATTTTGTTTCCACAAAGTTAGTCAGAGAGTACAAGTTGCTAGTGACTAAAGTGAATTTCTGGAGCTGCTACTGAGAACCAGCAGTGGGATGGTGCGGTTGGAAAAACTGTAGACCGAACTTATAATCACAAATTGCTTGCCATAGGAAACTCAATCTCAAAGTGAATGGTATAATGCGTGTAGCTTCAAAGTTGAGATAAAATCTCCAAGTGTGTGGGCTTTTGAATTTAGAATCCTCACCATTGTGATTGGCAAGAAAATACTCCACAGTTAAAGACCAAACACAAGTATCCCAGATCAGAACATGGTATCATGTGTTCCTCGAAGGCTTGTTGGCACATCAAAACTGGCACAGCTTGAGCTGGCCTACAACAGAGCAGTTTGTCTTTACCATCTAAAGCATTACGGTCCAGGTAATGTTATTCTTGGACAATCAATGAACGAATTTTCTTTACGTTAGTTTGGAGCTCTTAGTGTTCTTGCAGAAATTCTGGAACATGGAGTGTGACAATATCCCGAACTCAGCATTGGTAGGTATGCTCTTTGTCACCACATTAGTTGCTTTGCATATATTCTAGACTATACATTTTCTGTTTGTAAAGCCAGAGGGCATTGAGCTGTGTAGCGTTGGAAACAGCCCAGCGCTCAAAGAATCTGCATTAGTCGAAGCTTTCAACTTGAAGGTCCAATCAAAATTCTTTTTGACTCACTTGATTTGGTTCTTTGTTTAGGCTGCCATTGACTACGTTAATGGAAATTTGGAGGCCGCAAAAGAAAACCTCACTGACATGTCACCACGTGCAGAAGAAGAGTTAGACTCAGTACATTCTGATACTTCCGCTAAGTTGTTTATTTTTGTTTTTTCTTTCCTCAGGTCACGCTTCACAATCAAGCCCTGATGAATATGGAAGTTGATCCTACTGCAGGCTTCTGTAAACTTAATTTTTTGTTGCAGGTAAATATTTTTATTCTTTTATGATTATTCTGACCACTCGCTATAGAATCCTCCATTTCCTTCAGAGACATTGGCTAATCTACTTCTGCTGTATTGTAAACCTTCCCATGGATTCTACAATCTTGCTGCTGATGTAATGGCAGAGCATGCGGAAGTTATCTTCAAGTATCTATCTCAGGTACGCTTGAGGCACATAAACTTCACAAGCATTAGTCTTTTTACTTCTAATATTATGCAGGACTTCTATGACTTTATTAACTGTATCATTTTGACAAAGACGTCACCGGAGGTTATTCAATTATTGTTAGTTGCGATGTTGTTGAGCTAAGCTTGACTATCGGACAGGATGCATATCAAAAGATGGCAAATCGTTATAGTGAAACCATGCGCAGGCTCACCAAACAAATCCAAGATTCTTGTCTTTCTCGCAATCAGAAGGGCCACAAGAAGGCTTTGGCAGAGTATGGAGACTCTCTTGAGGTAAGATGTTCATAATGTTTTGTCTTTTGTTTTTCTAGCATCGGCTCTTCTATAGTATTATATACCTATCATCATAAATTACGTGCAAGTAGAGCGTATTTTCCACCAGTCAGCAGACTTGTGTTCGGATCATCCTGTTTGGCGACTGAATGTCACGCACACTTTCTTTATGCAGGTGAGCTATTCGTATTTCTTATCTATGCTCATTGTGCATCTAACAGGATAATCGCTACAAAGAAGCAATTCATTACTATGAACCGATTGTAAAGAAAGCGGGAGATGACATTCTCAGTGTCACAGCAATTGTGCTCGCGACTCTCTGCGTTTCATACATTATGACCAGCCAGGTACTTTAAACAAATAGTACGACGAAATTGTAATATATTGGTCTTTAGTAGAATGAAGAGGCCGAAGATTTGATGCGAAAGATTGAAAAAGAGGAAGAGAGAGCGCACTACGAGGTTTGCCATGTATATGTAACTTAAGGGGCTGCTAGCGGTTTTAATTCCGTGTTCCTTTTCTAGAATCCAGACAAGCAGGAATTGCATTTATGCATTGTAAACCTTGTGATCGGTACCCTCTACTGCGCAAAACAAAACTTCGAGTTCGGTATTAGCCGTATCATCAGAAGTTTGGAGCCTTATGGGAAAAAGCTGGAAGCAGACACGTGGTTTTATGCGAAGCATTGCTTTCTTGCATTGGTCGATAGCCTTGCGAAGCAGATGATCGTGGTAAGAAACAAAAGACGAGGCACGGATTCATGAAATCTAATGTCAAGCTTGCTTGATGCAGTTGAAGAACGCGACATACGCCGACATAGACGACTTTCTTGATGCTGCGGACAGCCAAGGCAAGACTGTCTACACATCCGTGGAGAGTCCCGGCGAGGGCCAGAACTCCAACACGGTCTCCAGAGAAGCCAGGCTGCTAAGAGGATGTTTCTGAAGATTAGAGGATGAGGTATGTCCGTCCATTCAGCTTGCTAGTTCCTAAGATAACTTCATTACAGGTAGGCATGGCTTGCAAGCCTTGGTGTTGCAAAAACTTCAAGTGGAACCTTTCGTCTCACCGCCACTCCTTCCGAGATCTCGTCCATGCTCAGCTCCTTGCCACTGACCTTCCACTCGAACCCATGGACAAAGCGAGCAAGAGTGTGCGAAACCATGGCTACGCCAAGAGACAATCCGGGACAGATCCTTCGACCAGATCCAAAAGGCAGCAGCTCAAAGTTCTTCCCCTTGAAGCTGATCGAGCTCTCCGCAAATCTGTCCGGGTTGAAGAGATTGGGAGACTCCCACAAGCTTGGATCTCGTGCAATTGACCATTCGTTGACCAAAACTCGCGAGTTCTTGGGGATCTTGTAGCCGTTGACTAGACAGTCTTGCGTTGAATGGCGAGGGAGTAGCATTGGCGCTGGCGGATGCAAGCGAAACACTTCGTTGACAACACTGTTGATGTAGCTAAGCTTACAAAGATCGGCTTCCACCACCATCCGCTCGCGGCCCACAACTGTGTCAATCTCTTTTTGGGCTTTGATCATACATGTTGGATTGTTCATGAGCTCTGAAAGTGCCCACTCGGTGGTGATGGCCGAAGTTTCAGTACCAGCAAGCATCATGTCCTTGCAAAGAGAAAGCAAAGCTAGCATACCAAAGAAAACTAAACTTACTATGTGTGTAGCTTAATTTCAATCGAAGTTGAGATAAATCTTGAAGCGTGGGAATCCTCACCATTAGAAAATACTCCGCAGGTAATGACTGAACACAAGTATCCCAGATCAGAACATGGTATCATGCTTTCCTCAAGGGCTGCATGCTGGCACATCAAAACCAGAAAAAGGAAAAGTCAGCTTGGCTTGACTCGGCTGGTTAGCTACGCTCTCTCTTTTTCTGCGAGAAAAAAATAAATTCTTCCTTGCCTGGGTGGAAAGGACTTCTGCCCTGCCTTTTTAAGAGACAGTGATCTATGCTGTAGAAACTCGAGAGTATGGCATAATCCTATAGAAACATGGTTTAGTTGAATTTTTTAACATTTACCAATTTATTATCTAAGCTCTCATTCTATCAATTAAATTTATGGGATAATTGAGATGGCCTAAAGAAGTCTGGAAAAACTTCATAGAGATTCTAAGTTGCAACTTAATGTGAAATATCCTTTTTAAGATATGGAGAGAAGATGCAATGTAAACTTTACTTATGCAATAGATCGTATTTCTATATCTTTTATAGAGTCAAAAACATGTTTATAAAACCACACCACCCACTCAAAGAACTTTTTTTTATAAATGCTCAATGTGTTATAAAAAAAAAATGGATTTAGTCCTCATTTGGATAAAACTCTAATAACAAGATCAAAAGGGATATGGTCTGCTATTGAAATCCTACAGCTAGGAGCTTTATATGTGGGACATTAGCAAATAACTAAACACTCATAGTGTGCTATAGAGCATTGTTGCTTGGGATGTGCTTGGGTCTTCCAAATTGACAAATACCCCATGTGTATGTATTGAATATTCTATGGGATTCTTGGAGGTAGCTAGCTTGCAAGCTACAATATAATGAGTTGGACCAAAAATAAGACATATACATAGAAACCAAAGTTTATAAATTTGCAATATGTTAAAGAAAAAACTTGAAGTGCCTCTATTGTAGCTTGGCTAAGTTGTGATTAGATAACACAAATTTAGCATCAGCTAAACTATTATCTTTTAGGTTGACAATTACATCAAGAATTGATAATCTCCTTTGCATTGTTAGTCTGGATGTGATGAAGTACCTCTTTGAGTGCTACCTTATAATATACACCTTTCTAATTTGCCATATATATTTGTACAATGATAACATTGAAATTTTAAAATAGTGTACGAGGTAGGCAATGGTCTTAGTCTCAAATGGTCAATGGTCTCAATGGTCTTAGTGAATCTAAGTGCCAAATACAGCTAAACTACAAAATCCCCTCAATGCAAAAAATGACAAAAGGCGTAAAAATGTGCAAATGAAT